AAATCCCCCCAAAAATCCCCAAAAATCCCCCAAAATCCCCAAAAATTCCCCAAAATCCCCTCAAAAATCCCCAAAAATCCCCCAAAATCCCCCAAAATCCCAAAAATAATTTAAAAAATCCCCCAAAAATCTCCCAAAATCCCCCCAAAAATCCCCTAAAATCCCCCAAAAAATCTCTCAAAATCCCCAAAAATCCCCCCAAAATTCCAAAAAATAATTTAAAAAATCCCCAAAATCCCCCAAATCTCACCCGGCCTCTCCTCCTCCTCCTCGTTCCCCCCCTCCCCGCGGTCGCCATGGCGACGGCCCCAGGGATGCTCGGCGCGGTCGCCGTGGAGACGCGCGGCCCGGGGCGAGGGCGGCGCCGCCCCGCGGCGGTTGCCGTGGTTACCGTAGCGGTCGCCGTGGAGGCGGTGCGGGTGTTGCTGGCGGTTGCCATGGTTACCGGCCTCCAGCCGGTTGCCGGGCTTGCCGTCGCCATGGAGACCGGGCGGGTGGTCGCTGCGGAGGGCGGCGCTGCGGTTGCCGTGGTAACCGTGGGGTCCGGAGGGGTCGGCGGCCTTGGCGCGGTCGCCGTGGTAACCGGGGTGCTGGTTGCCATGGAAACCGTGGGGGGCGTGGTTGCCATGGAGACCGTGGGGATGGTTCTCGTGGTGGTTGCCATGGAGATCGTTGTGGTTGCCATGGAAACCGTGGGGATGCTTCTCCTGGTGGTGGTTGCCATGGAGATCGTTGTGGTTGCCATGGAAACCGTGGGGATGCTTCTCCTGGTGGTGGTCGCCATGGTGACCGTCATGGTGGTCCCCGTGCTTCTCGTGGTGGTGGTTGCCAAGGAGACCGTCGTGGTCGCCATGGAGACCGTGTGGATGCTCCTCGCGGTCGCCATGGAGACCGTGGGGGTGGTGGTTGCCGTGGAGACCGTCGTGGTTGCCATGGAAACCGTGGAGGTTCTTCTCGCCGATGAAATTCCCTCCAAATTCGTCGCCGTGGTGACCATCCTGGTGGTGGTTGCCATGGAAACCGTGGGGATGCTTCTCCTGGTGGTGGTTGCCATGGAGACCGGCCTGGTGGTCCCCGTGCTTCTCGTGGTCGCCGTGGTGACCATCCTGGTGGTGGTTGCCATGGAAACCGTGGGGATGCTTCTCCTCCTCCTGGTCGTGGTGGTGGTTGCCATGGTGACCGTGGGGATGCTTCTCCTCCTCCTGGTCGTGGTGGTGGTCACCATGGTGACCGTCCTGGTGGTGGTGGTTGCCATGGTAACCGTGATGCTCGTGGTGGTGGTTGCCATGGGGATCGCCGTGGTGGTTGCCGTGGAAACCGTGGGGATGCTTCTCCTCCTGGTGGTTGCCGTGGAAACCGTGGGGATGCTTCTCCTCCTGGTGGTTGCCGTGGAAACCGTGGGGATGGTTCTCCTGCTGGTGGTCGCCGTGGAAACCGTGGGGATGCTTCTCCTCCTGGTGGTTGCCGTGGTGACCGTCGTGGTGGCCGTGCTGGTGGTTGCCATGGTGATGGGAGCCGTTGCCATGGAGACGCAGCTGCAGCTCCAGGGCCCCGATTTTCCTCTGCAGGGCCTCGCGCAGCCCCGAGACGTTCCGGCTCTGCTGGGGGGGGGGAAAGGGGCCCGAAATTCACCCAAATCGCCCCAAAAATCGACCAAAGTGAGCCAAAAAATATCCTCAAATCACCCCAAATCGCCCCAAAACTCGACCAAAAATGGCACAAAAATCAGCCTGAAATTACCCTGAAATCACCCAAACATGAGATAAAAATCACCCCAAAAATCAGCCTGAAATCACCCCAAAATCACAGAAAATTGCCCCAAAAATTGTCCAAAAATTGTTCAAAAATCAGCGCGAAATTACCCCAAAATAACCCTAAAATTGAGACAAAAATCACCCCAAAAATCAGCCTGAAATCACCCCAAAAATCTTCACAAAAATCATCCCAAAATAGCTCAAAAATCACCCCAAATCACCCCAAAAATTGTCCAAAAATTGTTCAAAAATCAGCCTGAAATTACCCCAAAATAACCCCAAAAATGAGACAAAAGTCACCCCAAAAATGAGCCCAAAATAATCCCTTAAAATTACCCAAAAATCATCTAAAAATCAGCCCCAAAATGACCCAAAAATTATCCCAAAATCACACCAAAATCACCCCAAAAATCACCCAAAATCACCCCAAAGTGGCCTCAAAGTGACCCCAAAATTACACCAAAAATCACCCCGAAATCACTCCCACATCATCCCAAAAATCACCCTGAAATTACCCAAAAATTACCCCAAAACTGCCCCAAAATCACCCTGAAAAAAAACCCAAAATTACCCCAAAAATGGCGCCAAAATGACCCAAAAATGAACCCATAAATGGCCCCAAAATTACCCCAAAAATGGCGCCAAAATGACCCCAAAATCACTCCAACAATGGCCCAAAAATGACCCCAAAATGGACCCAAAAATGACCCCAAAATGACCCCAGGAGGCCCCGCCCCTTCCTCTTTAGCCCCACCCATCTTTACAGCCCCTCCCCCTTTCCATTAGCTCCTCCCCCTCATTTTTAACCCTTTATTCTCCTCCTCTCCTGTAGCCCCTCCCCCTTTTTAATCCCTCCCACCCTCACCATTGCCCCTCCCCCTTATTTAACCCCTCCCGGTCCATTTAACCCCTCCCCTTCCACCTCTAAGCTCCTCCCCTTTTAGCCCCACC